TAGCAAGAACGCTACTAGTAGCTCCTGGCATTACTACTAGGAGCAAGAATGCAAATAAGGTAGGGGCCATCGCTAGTGTTGTGCCAACATCACCATAACCCGCGAAAGCCTCCATATCGTATTGACCTCTTGCTGCCATCAGTCCATTTGACTGAAGCTATTCTATGCCATCTTGGAAGAGTCTTACTGAAAATCATCTTTATTTGGCTCCATTTCTATTAGGTTGGAGGCCATCGCTACTAGGTTGGCTCCGTCCTCGGCTTGCAAGGACTTCAACGCTGCCTTTGTCACCATGTCCACCAATTCGGGCGCCTTCAAGGGCCGGGTGGTCCGATGGTTTCACCGTTTCCATCTTTAGGACAGAACCCTGAAGGTAAACCTGGTGCAAAGCAATGCAAAGCATACACAGCTAGCACTGCAACAAGTTTTGGTTGAGGGAGTTTGAGGGAGCAGTTCAAGACCCGCTGATTGCTAGCAGAAACACATTGGAATTACTCGAAATCCACTTTGCGCCAACAAGGCCTCCTTGTAGAGCGGGATCTTCGGATGAAATCCTTCAGCATGGAGAGTCTTGTAGCCTAACCTTTTGCAGGAATCAAACTTTTCACATCTTCACTCTCACTTTAAGGTACCCGTCTTAGTCTAAGTGCCTTCATCTGCCACTTTTGTCAAACGCTCCCTCATCTCTACATCATTCCCTAGAGCAGCTCTTGTCTGAAAGCTTCTTGGCAGCTCAATCCTTGCTAATCCAAACCCCAGCGCCTTGTCAGCGCCAACGAGAGTGACTGCGTGGACGTGCGAGAGACACCGGCAGCAATGACCTTCAGAGTTGGAGCTGCTGTGGCAGGTCGAGTGGTGACAAATCTTCTCGAAGTGGGCGCAAGCGCAGGCGGTTCCTGAACCTTTAGGGACCTTTACAGAGCATTTTTTGAACAGTACTCTTAGGATGACCTGACAACCTGTAGCCTGTGTTACTACCCCTTCTTGTCAAGTACTTGCAGTCCCCTGGTCGTTCAAATCCAGCATCGTCAAAGAAGGCCAGTCGGTTCACAAAATGAATATCGGAGCTTAACTAGGAAAACACCCGGGGGCATTGTTACATTGGTTTCTTTGTCTAGCGCTGAAGCTCCCTTGATGGTGTTTCCTCTTGAAGCAAGGCCCAGCACCCGTATTTGCCCACTTGGCCAAGCGCTGACAGGCGCCAAAAGCAAAGCCGTCAGAAGTGCAAGCGCCATGAAGTCCCAATAAACCAATGATTCTCAAATGCTGCCCATTCAGAAACAACGAGGGGAAAAATCAAAAGGAGTATACCAGGCATGTGTCTTTGTGCATATACGCACGCATGATTGAAACTCGGATCTTGCGCATTTGCTCACCATGTGTTGTCCCTCGGGGCGGCGTAAAAGTTGGCTCCTGTACACAGCCGGGCCGCTGAAGGTAGGAAGTATCAGAGCATGCCGGGGACAACTGTTCAAACAGCAAAAAGCCTTGCAAAAGCAACCTGTTTCTGCAGAATCTGGAGGAAAAACGATGTCTTGTGAAAAAGCGACATGCTCCGGACCCCGGAGCACCGAGGATCACTTCCACTAGGCAGTCGGGCATCCGCGATCAATCACGGCGCTCACTAGATTAGATATCCTGCCAAATCTCCTGGCACAAGTTTGGTTCTCAAGCATCACTGTGCATCAAAATGCCCAACAAAAAACACCAACAAAGGTCACAAGGCTTGCCACAAGGAAACCGGGAGCCCATGATGGTCGTGGGTTTCTCTCCTTTTGCCTGTTTCATACTGCTTCTAATTTGTTGTGCCTTTGTTCCTTAGGTGTCTTCCATCCTTTGCCATTTGTCCATTTGTCTTGTCTTCCGTTCTTCCAATTTCAAGCTGAGCTTCTCTCATGACGTCAGCATCATCTGGCGCAATGCGCTGGATGATCTGGTCCAAGGAGTTCACCTGGTTGGTTTCTCGCGGACCACGTCTCCGTTGAAGAGGCCGGCGCTGGCGCCGGAACCGGAAGATCTTGTGTAAAGCCCGCTCCACAGCCCACGCCTAGGTGAGAACCCGAATAAAACACACTAAACACACTCAATGCGGCGAAACATACGTTTTCGATATAAGCCTGGCCTTGCCATTGACCTGGACAACACCGTCTTCCAATGAAACTGTCCTGATGCCTTTGCGCTTGTTGAGCTTGATTTGCATGCGCTTCGCTTCGAAAGCTGGCACCAACGCAGCACCGATCTCCACCTCCATCGTGGTGTCGAGCATCGAACGCACCGCCTTCGCGGCACTCTGCGCAGAATCAAGCCGTCCGAAGATCACAAGGTGGCAAGTTGCAGGGCTCCAGTTCATCTCCACACGGTGTAGCTTGCTAAGGTCAGCCACACTCTTCTTCACATCGCGCTCGAAGTCTTGAACTGAATGGAACTTTACTCTCTCCAGGTGGTAGAGGTTCTTGATTGCCCTCAAACATGCATCCAGACCTTCGTCGTCACCTGTGACTTCGACGGTCATCATGGCTTCCACATCATCCGATTCGATTTTGGGCACCTTGATGTGGACCCCGTGCTCTGCTTCTAGCTCCTTGATGTGACGCCCCTCCGTTCCGATCAGGCGGCCTCCATCTCGGATGGGGATGTCTACAGCACCCAGAACTGGTCTGGCATTGCGTTCACCAGCCGCGTCAACTCTCGGTGCATCGGCGCTGGAGCGCCTATGATTTGCTTCGTTGCCTGAATCTGAAACAGTGGAAAGAACAAAGGGTCTTCCCAGTGAAACAGTGGCAGATGCCCTGTCCATGTCAGCAAACATCTGCTCGATCATGTCCTCGTTGGTCAGCTGGATCGCTGCTGCCAATCCTGAGCTTGATGTGCATGGAGCAGGCGGCAAATCGTGACGCACAGCAGCATCAGCTATTGCAAGCTGTGGCGGGCCTTGTGCAGACCGGGCACCTCCGTCTTCAATCGCCTGAGCAGGATTGATACCTTCAATGGTCTTCAAGGCATCGTGAAGGAGGTGAATAGCAAAGTCACCACGTTTCTTCAGCTCAGCCAAAGCTAGGCTAGACTCATGGCCTTCATGGCGGCGGCCTGGGCCTCCAAACTCCTCAGGCTCGGAATCCGATTCAGCTTCTGAGCTACTGCTGTGCACAACTTGAACCTCCAGGTCAATCGGAAGCGGCGCGCCAGAGACTGCATGTTGCTCGGCCGGGGCACTGAAGAGATTGGGAATCTTGGCTTTCAGTTTCTCCAGCTCAGCTTGGCCAAGGCCTACCCCTGCTCCATGGAATCGACCATAGATGCAGCAAAGCTGCAACTTGGCAATGGGATCAGGGTGCGCTGACACAAGGCGGTCTCTGGTCTCATCAGCATCCCAGACCTGTGCATGGCAAGCGATTTCTGCCAGAATGCCTTTCAGTAGACCCTCCTCGTCTTCAGCTTGAAAGGGACAAAGGTCAAAGATGCGAGAAGAAACTTGGGCGACGGGCACGTCAGGAATCTTCAAAGCTCGTGCCACTGCTGCGTACAAAGAAATGGATCTTTGCACCTTCATGCCTGCGGGCTGTAGTTGCTTCAGCCTTCAGTCAGCCGTTTGACCCACGTTGCATGGCAAAGAAACCAAACAATTGGCATCAAGTGGCACATACGTGACATACGCTTCCTTCTTGCGTAGAAGAAATCATCAATCAAATAGAAAAAGGTTCCAATCATATATAATGGCAGCAAAGCCACCGGGCACTCAAAGCTTTCTCTGCCAAGGGCTTGTCGAGCTGCCTCAGTGGTGGCCTTCGGGCATATCTGACATCAGTCGGCCGGGGCCTCTGCAACTGCAGATTGTCACGTGGGCGTTCCATGCCCACAACCTTAGGTGTCATTGACATCAATACACGCCAAGCGGTCATTAAAAAATGTCTTTATATCAGCATAGACCCCAAACAGCATAGTGGGCAAGAATTATTGTTGTTGCTGTTGCTGTTGCTGTTGCTGTTGCTGTTGCTGCTGCTGTTGTTGTTGTTGTTGTTGTTGTTGTTGTTGTTCATGTTCATGTTCTTGTTCTTGCTCTTGTTCTTGTTCTTGTTGCTCTTGCTCTCGTTGTTCCTGTTGTTCTTCTTCTTCTTCTTCTTCGTCTTCTTCTTCGCTGTTGTTGTTGTTGTTGTTGTTGTGGTTGTGGTTGTGGGCGGCCGCAGCCCCAGCCCCTGCCTTGGAACGCAACGTAAGCAGCACGACAGCAGCAGAACAACAGAAAAACCAGAGGAGGACATGAGGAGGACAACAGGGGACGAAAGGATGAGGGAAGGAAAACAGCACAAACACACCAAGAGGACAAAAAAAGGACAAGCTGCGACCGGACAACGCCAAAAGGACAACAGGACAACATGAGAGGAGCACGCCAAGAGGAGAACAAGAGGAGAAGAGGAAGAGAGGACAAGAGAAAGACAAAACGACGACAGGAGGAGTACGACCGGAGATAGGCTGGCAGCCGCGGCGAATGAAGATCTGAAGAAGGACAACAAGAAATAGAAGAACTTGAAGAGGACAGGGCCGAAAAGATTGTGACAAGAGGAAAGGAGGAGGACATCCGGACAGGGCGACATGGTGGCCAGCTTATCTTTCCTACGAGAGAGTCCCGCAAAGTGGACAACAGGAGGACAAGGAGAGGACATCGGTTTGGGGTTGCTTCTGGGGTTGTCTTGCTGGTTGCGCGCTCGCATAGTGTATCATGCTTACACGGTGACAGGCTGCCACACGACCATGCTGTGGTACTGCGGCCTTCGCGCTTGCCGGCTGGCGCTTTCCCGAACGGCGCTTCCCGCGCACAGGCTGTCATGGTGTCATCTCTACACGCTGCCATGCCGTCATCTGGACACCAGCAGAAGGGCAACAAGGGGACAACGGGAGGATAAGGTCTGGAAGAGGACAACAGGAGGACAAGGAGAGGGCAAGACAAGGACAAAAAGAATACAACAAAAGGACAAGGACTGGAGACGGGCTAGCATCCGCGCCATGACAAACAAGAAGAGGACAACAAGAAAGCAACAGGCGGACATAGGGTTCACCGGCGCGGCCAAGCTGGACACCAGCAGAAACAAGAGGGATAAGTGGAGGACAAGAAGAAGAGGAGGACAAGAAGAGGATACGAGGAGGACAACGGGACGACAAGAAGAAAACAAGAGGAGGAAAAGAGAGGAAAAAGAGGACAACAGGAGGACAAGGTCTGGAGACCGGGTTGCAATTGCGGTGTTTGGGGAAAAGTAGGTTTTGCAGGAAATATTGGTAGCATTCTTGCCACTCAGTTGTCATATTCTGCACATCATGCAAAGTGACGGCCGTCAGAGCCTTCAGGTTCAAAAGAAGGATTTCAGGTCTGTCCCTGTGGGCATTGATAATGGCCTCGAACTCCTCCATATAGTTCTCTCCCTCAAGAATGCTCAGCTGTTTCTCCTGCAAGTCACGCATGTTCTTCGCGCGTGACCTGGGCTGCAACCAGATTGACACACATGTTACATGTTTGTCCATATCACACGCTTCGATGGGACGTCCGACCTTCAACTTAGGCTGGAACGTTTTTTCTTGGCGAAGCAAGGCTTTGGTGCATTCAGCCCCGGCATAAATCAAATCTTTCTCAAAACGCAAAGGATTGGAATCTCGCTTGGCACATCGGAGGTGGTAGAGTTTTGCACTACACTCGTGGTTACACAAGTCGCAGTTGGTCTCGTAGGGCCAGGGTTTCAAGGGCACTGCGTCAGCAAACTTCTGGGAAAAGCTGGTGCAATGGATGTGAGGCTCTGTGGCAACAAAGAATTCACAGTCATCTCGGCGCGAGGGATGGAGATTCGAATCGGCCGGCAAGCCGAGCCGACCTTTGAAGTTGCTTTCAATGGTGCAATCTTCACGCAAAAGCACGGCTGCATCAAAGTCCTGGTTTGGGGGAGCGAAAGTTGGCTCTGACAGCCAGCTGAGACATACATTCACACCATTGATTGGCATTTCACCAACAACAGAGCAATCCTAAGAAGTTGATGCTCTGCTTGCTTCGGGGCGCTAACTATGTAAAGTTTACGGTTCATTAGGGGAGAAAAAGGTGAGGACATGACTTTGAAATGATGTTGGTCAAAAATACTTGGCAAAACCACTTCGGAGCACCTCCTGGAGCATTCCTTCTGCAAGTGCTTCATCTGCCCCAGAAGGCCGTTGGAACACAACTCGCCGACGAGGTAGAGAGGCGTCCATCACTTCTTCCGTCGCTTCCTCCTTGACTTCGAGTCTCGACTCATTGGGCTGCGCCGGCGGCTGCGCCGGCGGCTGCGCCGGCGGCTGCGGTGCTTCAGCTCTTGGGCGCTTTGAAGGCCTGGACTCCAATTCAGACGGCCTGGATGGTTTGGGCGGAGAAATCCGCACACCAGCCCAGGGAGGGACCAAAGGGCAGTCATCCGAGTCGCACCCCTCAATATCCTCATTTGAACCCGTCTGCCTCTCCAACTGCTCCGGTGCTCTCGCGCTGGGTTCCACCAATCGTCTCCGCGAAGCTTGTCGTTGCAGGACGCGTCGTTTTCCCGGCTTGACCACCTTGGCCTGGCCCGCTCGGCCTGCGCCAGCAACTGGTGCCTCTCTTGGTGCGGAGCTTGTTTGGTTCAGATCTGCAAGGTGCTTCTCTCTCATCTGTTTGACCTCCTCCATGGGTTTCCTTTCTTCGAAGTACATGTAACAAAGACGGCAAATCCGCAAGGCTTCCTCCACCGATCCTGCAGCCTTCACCGAGACCTGAAAATAACCAATCTGCAACGGCGCAGATTTGGGTTGTTTGATAATCACGCGCGATTGCTTTCCATGTTGAGCCACATACTTGTAGGCATCATGGCCAAGAGGTGCATCAGCCCTGTTCGACATGCTGCGTCGCACAAAGGTATCTTGCACACCAAGGGAGGCTATGGCAGGCTGACAAGGATCGATCAGCGATGGTGTCAGTGGCCGTGTGAATGAAAAACGGTGACTGGTGCTTGATCAACACAAAACAAACTGCCCCCCCATTCAATGACCCAAGCTCGCCGTTCCGGTGCTGGACTGGGCTGCGGGACTGTGACGCAGCGAGAGATAAACTTCACACATGCTGAGTTAGTGAACGCAACAACATCAAGTAACTAACAAAGGGCATCGCTACTAGGAGCAAGAAGCTACTAGTAGCTCCTGGCCTTACTACTAGTAACAAGAAGCTACTAGGAACAACATCAATTGTCTGCGGCGAGTCAGGTGCCTTTTTTTTTTGCCGGACGAAAGTGAGATCAAAGATGCCCGCAACTTTGCACAACCCCTTGCTGGGACACTGCATTTGGCCTGACTTCCTGTCCTGAGCCCAAGCTAAGCGCATTATTCCTAATTTCTAGGAACTGTCAGTGGGTGGCCAAGGCTCCTGTTTACAGCAGGCAAATCTTCTATGTGTTGTCCGTCGGCTTTTTGCCATGCATCAGCTAGCGTATCTGATAGTGACATTGCCCTTTCGAAAGGCATGATGCGAAGTGATCCCCATTGGTGTGGAAAACTACCCATCAAGAGCAAGTCTGCATTGGACAGATTGTGCTCCTAGGCCAGCAGCTGTCACAAGCAATCATGCGAGAACCTGGCGAGATACTGATCGGGACCTTTGTCATTTGCAAGTGTACTTGGAGAAACCAGGATGCGAATGTGCCTTATCTGGACCACCTCAACCCGCGAAGAATAATAAGCATGGCATCGTGAAGAACAATAATCAATAGTTGTTTTGTTGAATATGATTGATGTTTGTTGGTAAACAATTCTCATGATTCTTGGTCATTGTTGATTCATGGGTGGTCATTCATGCACTTGTGCTAAAGCAAGGGGAACTATGGGGAATTAAGGTAGCTGAATCTACCTTTCGTGATTAGGAGTTCTCAAATCTCTGCAATCAATCAACGGCGTCATCACGGCAACGTAGGCTTCGCTCTCCTCACAGTTGAAGAGGACATCGTCGGACAAGAAACCACGTTCCGAACGCATCTGCACCCGGTTCACCCAACCTTTCGCTCCATCGCTACTAGTTAGCTTCTTGTTCCTAGTTGTAAGGCCAGAAGCCCCGTTCGTAGCGTCCTTGCTCCTAGTAGGGATGCCAGGAGCCCCGTTCGTAGCGAACATACTAAAACAGGCGATGCTTCGAGTCGAGTTTTAGATTTATCCATCGCGTTGCCACCCCAACCGAAGAACATCTTTCACCTATGCGCTGTGGAGGTGGGGACATGGACACATGGGTGACTTGGGTATTGGGCGTGAGACCACATCTGCAACTGGTGCACATGCCTTTCCTTTTGGGTCTGGAAGCCGCAACGCTGCGCCGGTCACGCGATTCAGAATTCGCTCCACTAGCCTTCACCACCCTACTTGTCAGTGCCCGTCTTGATGTTGATCATGTTGGGCTGCTATCCCAGTGTCACGAATCACAAGGCTCAGGTGTTCATTTTGAGAACGGACTTTCAAAACAGCCTGCCGGTTCACTCTGAAAAGTCAGGCAGCGCACTTCACTGCGAAACCAGCCACACTCCCCTGCTACTTAGTGCCAGGGGTAGCAGCTGGTTCTGCCACAGAGCATGCTGCAAGCCCTGCAAGCAGCAGGCCCAGGCCGATGTATAAATGGTGCGCCCAACTCCACGTCTCAACGCTCGATTCAGTGTGCCGGCGTTTTAAGTCCTTTCAGAACCTTTCGATTTTCGTTCAGGTGAAACGGTCTCAGGCATTTCTGCACAGCCATATCCAAGCGCTTCATCGGGATCCTCGATGCAAAGGAGTTCAAGGCTACCTCAGGCTATCCACATGACAGCCTTGCCTTGCCCCTCTCGAAGTGGTCGCAAGCGACTGGATTGGTCTTTGCCCAGTCCAGCAAGGTCCGAAACCTTGATCCAAATCATTAGAATGAAATTAAATTAACTAATAGCTTCTTGTTACTAGAAGCGATGCACTTGTTTCTAATAGCTTTTTTTATTACCAGTAAGGCACTTGTTACTACTAGCGAGGCACTTGTTAATGACTAGCAAATTGTTTACTTCTGGGAAATGGTTTGTATGACAAATCTTGGCTCCTTCATGCTCCTTCATTCCACTATGCAGCAAAGCCACTTTTCTTGCCTTCCCCTGCTCAAGGCAAACACCGTCCATTTAGTGTAGGCCACATCCTGCAGTTGCACGACGCATATTCGCCAACAAGTGGAACACCCTGAGGAATTCTTCAGGGGGGCCTTGCAAAATTTCTGGGTGTGGTGTTCCAAAGCCGCGCAACATTTCGAAGAGCATCTTCAGCTTGCTGTTTAACTTGGGTCTATGGCCTCCACCCTAGTAGCGATGGCCTCCAACCCAAAAGCCATGGCCTCCAACCTACTAGCGATGGCCTCCACCCAACTTGAGTCTTCAAAACACACCCGACAAGGAAACCTACCCATTACTACATGCTGCCACCGCCTTCTGCCCTTCAGCTGCTTTGCGAGAGGCATCCAAGGCATCCAACTGAGGGCAGGCAGGACGGTCAAAGTCGGCATCCACTCAGGACTTCAGCTCTGCACTTCTTCGGTCCCTCCGGTGTGCACCTCACTCAACTCCGCCTCCTTTAAGGCCACCAAGCCCCCGCCCAGCGCTAGCACACGCTGGGCTCGGGTGACCTGCGTCGTGCGGACGAGCACGTCGTGCCAGGCAGGTCCCACCGAGCCTTGATTGCTGCGCGGCCAAGGAGAACAAATTGCGCCCGTTCAGGCGGCAGATCCCTGGAAGTCAATGGAGCCAACAAAAAAATCAGCTCAAATGATGCCATTGCTAGTAGGTTGGAGGTCATCGCTCTTAGGTTGGAGGCCATCGCTCTTAGGTTGGAGGCCATTGCTAGTAGGTTGGAGGCCATCACTAGTAGGTTGGAGGCCATTGCTAGTAGGTTGGAGGTCATCGCTCTTAGGTTAGAGGCCATTGCTACTATAGGTT